ACATATACTATATACTATATATATATATATATATATATATATATATATAGTATATATATATATATATANATAATATATACTATATATATATATATATATATATATATATATATATATATATATATATATATATATATTGAATTCTTAAGCCGCTACTGTACATGCAGAACATTGCAATCACATTAATAAAGTCCACCAAGTCCTAACGACCGAAGTGTCGTCATTGGCTACCTTCCTCTCTGTATTACTCCTTGCTCCCAATCTACTCATCACTCCCTGCTCATTCAAATCTACTCCGCAATTACCCTGACCTCGTTGTTGACGCGTTCACTAACACACAACTGTCATTCGCACACTTTCCCAATCCTTCGCACAGGCGTACGAGATTCTCAGCAACTACGTCACACGCCGTACATATGACCTCACTACACGCGCAGAAACATATACCAGCCAGCGACAGCAGTCGCATCCTGCCCCTCACGCACACGCACACAGGCACACACAGGCGCATACGTACCCACACGCTCATGCACAGGCAGCGAATAGACGGAATAGCGCCTATGGGGGGGTGTTTGGTCAGAGATCGAGTCATACAGGGCAAAGTAGTTACCCTCGCAACAGCAGCAGCTACAGCAACGCTAAGAACACCAACAACAACACTTATAATAGTAGTAGTAATATGTTTAATAATAGTGGTGCTCGCAGTACAAGTTGGGCCCAGCCGACCAAAGCCAACCCATTCGGCAGCAGCACTGCCAAGCCACCCACCCACTACCCGTCACAAGCACGCCCGAGATACGCCAACAAAGACTATCCGCACGAACCCAAAGCACACACACACACACACACACAGCCACAACATCAATCACAACCACAGCCACAACCACAGACACGAGGTCCGTTTGATACCAACCCGTTCAAGACGACCACAGCCAATGCAAACGGCGCAGAGAATGGGCCGAGCAAAGGCACTGACCGCTTGGGGTTTGGTGCTAGTGCTAGCGCTAACGGTAACAACTTACCAGGCAGTGTGTTCGATAACATCAACAGTCGCTACAACAAGTTCGGTGTGTAAGCACCGGGTGTTGTGTGCAGAGTGGTGGCAGGAGGGAGTGAGAGACTGTGACTCATCATAACCAGGCATCAATGAAGTCGTAGTGGCACTTACGCCAATGGGAATGATTGGTATGAGGTGGTGGTGGGTGGTGGGTATAAGGTGCTCGGTATGTATGGGAACTGAGCTGTGACGTGTGAGGGTTCTAAGTGTGACGTTTACTTCATTGCCTACTTCTCCTACCTCATTAAATCATATGCGCCTATTCCGCAAAGCACTCTCTCTCTCTCAGCGCGAGAGATGACTCAGGAGGGTTAGTACACTCGCCACACCCTCACACCATCTCATCAGGTTGATTGTATATGCACCTGCACTCACAAAATGAGTTTGTATGTGCGATGGTCTACGGACGGTACGGCAGGTGCGTGACACTGGATGCGATCGATGGCTATCGAATCGGATTGAGTGAGGAATCGGCGCCATAAATGCGTTCCTATCACACGATGAACTGACCAACACCTTGGTTGTCAAATGTGTGCACAATCATACACACACAATAGAGAGAGAGTGTGTGTGTGTTTGTGGGACGTCCGTGTATAGTGAACAGAGGCTCGTAAGCCTTCGTATGCACACCAACCCAGTTAGCACAAGCACCCTCCCTATAACCCAATAAGCACAAGCACCCTCCCTAAACAGGCAAGAGCCCCGAGGTGTGTACTACGTTGTTGATAGATAGAGCAACACCTCCATCGACATATCACCATATACACATGCACCTGAGTGCCCAGTTGGACTCCAGCTATGACATAGTCACGATAGCTTGTGAATCCTTATCACACACCGCAGAGAAGTCTAAAGGAGAAAAAGACTCGTCGTAACAGAGACTGGACTACACCAGACAAACCCAAGTATGTACCGAACAGCCAGGGGTGTGCATGACAGGAGGCACTCGGAGGTCAATAGGGAGCATGACACAGCAGAGGAGTCGGTATATTTAGTTAAAACAAGATGTTAGACGCACAGAACAATTGGGAACGTAGACGAAATTCGGTCATGCGTTAGTAACGTATTGGGCACCGATGAAAAACCAATAAACCCTTCAGTCGCGGGAGTAGAACACCTTTGACTTGCACACAACTGTCCCAATGCGATGGATAGGTTCTCAATTATTCAAAAAGTTCAATAATTTCATGACCCTCCAGAGAAGAAAGAAAATATGGCTGAACGGACTATCGTCCGTAGGACATAATTTGTCTCTGTGTCGCGTTCATTCTGTAGATCTAATCATATATTTATACATCTTAATCTATTTATAGATATCTGAGACTAATATATTTATATATCTCTGAGACTAATCTATTTATAGATCTTTGAGACTGTGCATGTGTAGCGAATGATTGAGCCCCCGGGGGCGTGTTCGAAGAAGTATTCATATTTGTTTTCTTTCATAGAAAAATAGAATAAAATATACATTCATATCAAAAAAGGAAATAAAAAAGCCAACAAGAAGTCTTGGGTTTTACGATATATATATATATGTCTTCTTATCGCGTTCCCATCATGCGACACATGCTACGTAGTATTTATTTACAAATACACGGACCATAGACTAGGGAGCACCCGCCATACCTGCATAGGCTACCAATATAGCTTGTACAAGCGCATCACTACTGTGTACGAGTGCCAGAAGTGTCCAGACTCACCAACACGTGCACATCCATCACCATGTCTCATCCGCCGACACTAAACAAGCGCTTGATCCTAGTAGTACTACTCAGTCTACTGGGGCATGCAACTGCCGCAGACACCTCAGCCGAGGAGTGTGAGCTGGCAGACCCCACATTGTACCTGTGGGACGCTAAGCAGCTGAGTAATCTGAAGAAGAAGTATCAAAGCGGGGATGCTAGCAGTGTGTTCAAGTCGTCGCTAAGGTATGACCTGTGGTTAGGATACTAACACGCCATTGAACTTCATGGCGATGAAATAGAGTCGTGTACATCATGCAGTACTTGTTTAGTCTATTCTTTTGATACGGTGATCTGTATTTGGTATTAGAAGCCATCTATTAGGTATGTGATTGTGGTGATGCTGTGTGTGTTTGGGCTGATCTCTACATTCTCACGTGTCATTCAGCACATGCGTTGCCTAGCTTGTATTATAGAATACTGGTATTAATCCCTGTACTTTGCGAAGAACCGCGAAACTACGACTAAAGGATATAGTCGGCACTCAGTATACATGCACAGACAATAGTTGAGACACAGATGTATACAAGCAGATTCTTTGGCTATTGGACTTTTTGTAGGAAAGCAAGCTTAATATGCCTTTTAGCTCACTCAACGCACTTTTGACATGACCCAAACACACACATATATATACACACACACAGAGAGACACACACACACTATATACATACATAT